AAGGATCATCAGCATGGACAGTCCAGGGGGGCGGCCCTCAAACGTGCTGAATCTTACACGCATGAAATGACTGACCTGATCCATGGATGTTTTTCTGAGTTTGCTGACAGCATGAAACAGGTTGTCACCGATAGCTCGGCTCAGAGACCCACAAAACGCGCACTTGTTGCTCTTAAGCTTCCCTCACCGGTAGCCGCAATGGCTGCTTACAACCTCGGGGAGTATTCGGGCAACTTGGAGTACTGGCGAGGAGTGATGACGAGCTTTACGTCGAACACTCTGTTCCAGGAGACGAGGCCCGAGGACCGCAAGACAATGGAGCAGATCCTCGGAGCACAAGCCACTCTCCAAAGCTCATGCGCTATGTGGGCGGCTGACTACGCGCCGGAGCTCATGGACACGCTTTGCGCTGTCAATGACAAAGGCCTTGGCCGCATCACGCCCGGGGCAACCTGTGGCCGAAATAGCGTGTACCTCGTCGTGAGTGACTCCAGCCTCGCCCTCATCAGCGGTGGCAAGAAGAACCGCAAGAGGGCGGACCTGGCGCAGGACATGAACTACAACCGCAGCACGAGTTGTAGCCACTGTGAGGTGAGAATGTGTTGGGGAAAGGACCTCACATTTCTCACGTGGACAGTGAAGAGCGCCATGAAGGACCTGAAGAAACGTCCTGAGTTTAAGGACCACGACTTCTACGTGACGGTGTACTGGTCCGGGAACGAGCTCGTTGGCAGCGGTGGGATCTGCGATGAGCCCGAATGGCCATACCGATGCGGAGACGGTCACTGGCCCGAGCTGTTCAACAAGTGCGCCAAGGCGATCGATGTGCTTGAGGAGTGCAGGAGTTGGTGGGGCATTGCGAACATCACGATCTTGGCCAACACCGAGGGTTCGTACTATATGCTCCCGCCCATCTACAACCAGTTCATGGAAAAGTTGTTGGATGAGTCGCTCAACAAGCACAAGCTCCTTCGCAAGAAGGAGTCGACGTTCTTGGTGTCTCGACAGGACAGGCTTGACAACTACCACATGGTGGACTCCATCGAGAACCGGAAGACGACGGTGGAGTGGTTGTGGTCGCTGTTCAACATCATGAAGTGTGTCGCTGTCGTTGAGTCCCACAAAGAAGATTTCAACAACGTGAGGTTGTACCTTGAATATTCCCATGACGCCGAAGCTGGACTCAATCCGTACACTTTGGCTGAGTATGAGGCGAACAGGAAGCTCACGCTTGAGTCATGGGAAAGCCTTCAACGTCCGATCAAGCTCGCGAAGGGCCGCATCCTCGAAAAGATCGAGGAAGTCGAAATCAAGGAGGAGATCGACTATGATGACGATGATGCACTCCCGCAAGGGAGTGCCGCTGAGGCTGCGCTTGGCGTCAAGGCCGCTCCGGCCACACCCAAGTTCACCGCGAAAGCATCGCCAAAGGTACAGGCGAAAGCATCGACTGCTGCGGTGGCATCGGATGTGCGGGGGGCAACCCCTGCCGGAAGCGCATTGCCAGGCAAGCCCGGCGGAACCGTCATCTTCCGCGGCCAGGAGTACGAGGCGAGGATTCTCCCGGGCACGATCCTGAAGGTGTCCACCTTCATGAAGGGAGAGTCGTCCTCGACTGATCGGTGCACAACCATATCTGGAATGCTTCGTGGCAGGTTTCAAGAACAGAGGCCACTCGATTTCGATGAGAACTATTTTGTCGACGTTCACCAGCTATGTGACAAATTCAACAGAAAGACCCGCAGCAATATCGGGTACAAGACGCTGTTGAAGATTTTTGCACTCGATCCGAAATGCAGATACACCGTCCTTGCGATCAAGCATCCTTCGGCTGCCGAGAACAACCAGGAGTGGGTTGTTGTCAAGGTTCGTGCCAGTCAGGGACACGCCAGCAGCGTTGATGCTGATGGCGACATCAGCCGGAACCAGTACGCACTTGCGAAGGCCATCTACGGGAAGTTTCTCCCGGAGGACGCTCGCAAGGTCGGACTGCAGCTTTCGCCGATTGATGATGGCCCTGGCAAACTATACCATCGCACGAGCAAGAACGCAGCCGAGAACATCGTCAGGACAGGTTTGATCCCGGGTGGCGTTGGGGCCACGGAGAGTGGCCGCTCGCAGAGCCACTTCTCCATCCACCCGGTAGAGAGCTCATCGTACAATGCTGGAGTTCGAGCAACAATGCCTATTGAGCTTGTCATCGACTTCAAGTATGCGATTGAGCTCGGAGTGTGGTGTTTTTCCTTTCGGAGTCTGACGTCATGCTGACCGCCGACATCGTTCCCAATGACTCCATTCTGTACTACACAGATGCGAAGACAGGTGAAGTGCTTTGGAGAAACGCCCTTCGTCTTGAGGCATTGGAGAATCAAACGACTGTCGACACGCTCGCCGCAAGGCGAGCCGTCGCTGTGACTGCAGACGAGGCCTTTCAGACCGATGCGGAGGGAAACAGGGCCACAAATCCTGAAGAAGAGCAGACGAATGAGGACACGGCCGCCTCTCGCCCGGGGCAACCCGCGGCCGACACCTCAGTCGTCAGGTTCAAGACCTTCGCTATGCCCGTCCACTACCCGGACTGCAGCCTCTGCGGCGAGGACATGATGCAGGGGCAGCTCAAGTGCCAGCGTTGCGGACGGAGCACCAAGGAGAACAATGACGTTCAGCTCTTCAGAGCCGCAAAGCGGAGAACGCAGATGCTTGAGGAGGTGAGTCACCGCGTTGGCAAGACGGTTGATCAGCTCCTCATCAATGATTTCAAGGGCTATGCTGATGTTGCGAAGAGAGGAGCAACATTCTTTGAAGCCAAGCAGATTGAGGCTTCGAAGAACTACGATAGCAGGGCCCGCAAGCTTGGATATGACAATGCGGTGGATCGGTTTGACGAAGACGCGACCTTTGCCCTTCGCATGGTGGAGCAAGGACACAATCGCGACAGCCTCTACCAAATGTCTATCTATAGGTTTTGTGTCCTCCCCGAATTTCCACGGAGTTATGATCAGCGACTTCTCGGGGTTGGGCCAGGCTATGGAAAACGAGGTCTCCATTACGTGAGGACTGTCTACGTCACCGGCGGCAAGGTCGGGGACTATGACGCCAGCCTGCATACGTTTCCATGGCTATTCTCGTATAACGGGAAAATGCTGAGCCTTCATCAATTCGTCGCTCAGGTCAACATCCTCCCGGGGATGCGCAACCTTGTCACCTTTGGCGGGAAGTTCCCTACGCTCCGGGCAACCGGAGCCGAGGACCTCGAAGCTGAAGTCAAGGAGATTTGCTGCCAGGCGGAGGACGATGCGAAGAAGCTCGCACGGCGCAGCCAGAGGCAAAGCGCCGAGGACCGTGCCCGCGGACCTGTGCAACCTGCTCAGCCCGCCTCCAGCTCCGCTGCCAGAAGCCGAAGCTGGAGAGACTGGGGCAGTCAGGACTGGAGCAGTCAGGACTGGAGCAGTTGGCAGTGGTCGACCTGGAGTTCGCGCGGCTGGTCTACTAGCGGAAGGTGGTGAACGCAATCGTCATCACAACGGAGCCCTTCTGAGAGAGTAGCAATTTGCATGCACGACGGATGTGTAATGTCCATTTTCAGCGTGCAATGGATGTGCGTATGGAATCAAAGCGGGTTGCAAAACCTGCCGACATTTTCGTTGTTGCTCAATCTCAAATGAGGGGGGTGTGGATTCAGGTTCCAACCCTGTGCATGAGTGTAAAAGGTAGTCAACGGTTTGCTGCTTGCCTAGGTATTCCCTTAGGTGGCCTAGGCTTGATAACACACCTCCGTATGTCGTGGTTGTTTTTGGGATTTCCTGGGGGCTTCCATGTACCGCCAGAAGTGAAGCCTTTTGCCAGATCTGAGGCTCAGTTGTTCAAAGCGAATCGACCGGATCTGACCTTTTGGTTTTCCCTTGGTCTATTTTTAGTAGAGGTCCCAAAAGGTGATCACCTTTTATAAACAGGTCCTTTGGGCAACTGAGGAGGACTCAATTCTCTTTCGAGTTCTGGTCCTTTGCTCCGAAACTTTGGAGTTTGTGCAGACCTGTCCTTTTCAAGGGCCCGAAGCCACGCGTCGCCGTAGATCGCTCTCTTTCCACCACTTGGGCGATGAGCAAAAGCAGGCCCCTTCAATTCTTAGGTCAATTTATCTACTGCTATTGGGTTGGATCTTTAGACTTTAACTTTTGGATTCCCCGTTGTTGAAATTCACACTTAGGGATACTTGGGGTGTCAAACAACTGTTAATATGCGTTTGTCTCAAATGTATGGAAGCCCTAAGATGTGGGTGGATTTCTTTGCCTTCAATTGAAGCCCGTCTAAGGAGGGAACCGTGTTGTTCAAATAACCGCTGTTGGTCAAGGTAACCGATGTGAACCGATCACTACCGGACTAATATGTTATTCTTTTTTTCCCACTGAAGCAAATGGACGTAGACGGACAATGGTTGGTTTCCCATACCCCACCCCCAACCCCAAAGTGCTTTTGTTGGCAAGGGGGTCTTCCAAATCAGCTAGCAATGTGACTTGCAACATCCCCTGCAACACCAACCACGAAGGGGTCCACCATCTTGAGAAACTGCCACACCACTAACCCCAAGCATGTTTTCGTGGGGGCCTTTGCTACTGAGCAGCAACAAAAGCACGTGCTTGCTTGGCTTTAGCAGAGGGAGCCAGGTGAAAGCAAGGAACATGTGCGGGTCAACGCATCTTACATCTTTGCCCTTTACTAAAATGATAACGGTGATGGTGATGATGATGATGATGATGATGATGATGATGATGATGATGATGTTGATGAGGATGAGGATTACCCACGATGATGATGATGTTGATGAGGATGAGGATTACCCATGATGATGATGATGATGATGATGATGATGATGATGATGAGGAGGAGGAGGAGGAGCAGGAGGAGGAGGAGGAGGATGAGGATGATCATGAGGGAGGATGCGTACGTATTTGTGTTTCTAGTTGGTTGAAGGTAGGCCCTTTGAACTTCTGACGTTCGAGGTGGCGCCGCCGGGCTCTGATGCGATCCTGCGCTGCCATGATCTCTGTGCAACGGGAGTTCCGACGCCACTGCCCGGCGGAGGCGGTTCCGACGAACCCTCCCGACGATTCCAATGGGTTTGTGCACAGACCCCTGGAGAAAGACTGCCTTCCCTCCAACTAACATGGCACCTGTGAGAGGGTACCTGGAAGATCAAGAAGTTCTTGGAGGGACCCTCTTTCAGGTGCCATTTTGGTGGGAGAGAGGGTACGTTTCTCTTGGAAAGGGGCTTTGTGCACTTCCATGTCAGTTTGTTGGAGGGTAACGAAGATCTGCGGAACCTTTGTTCCATCAACCTAGCCTCCAACCAATTGACATACCCTTCGACGTTCGGAGAAATAGTCCTGGTTTGGACCAGTTTCCCTTTCAAGGGACCTCCCGAAAGTCAGGCGGGTACTTCCCGAGTTCCTGGCGTACTTTGGCTGGACCATAGCGGTACACGAAAGGTTGCTCAGTGGTCCAAAACTTTAGCGAATCGACCTTTTGACGTTTTGGCTTTCCCTTTGTGGTCTACTTTTAGTTTCCAGGTCCCAAAAGGTGATCACCTTTTTAATTTTTGTTTCCAGGTCCTTTGGGCAACTGAGACTTTGGGCCAGGAAGCGAGAGACCCTGTTTCCTGTCGTGGAAGCTGAGAGTGAGTGGAGTGAGAGGGGCACAAGGGTTTTGAACAGACAAAATCTGTCCTTTCCAGGAACCCCCTACGGGTGGGGGAAATCGGAAAGCTAAGTTTAGTCGCGAGTATAGGGCAGGACTGGGGCGAAGTTGGACTAGTAGCGGTTGCTATAGCCTTAACCTCGTCTTGCCCAGTGGATCCAGTTGCCAATAGGTACCAATCCGTCCACTTCCATGATTTTGTTGGACATAGGGTAGCACACATTGTTTGTTGTTTCTGGTTCGAGTCCCATTTGTTGGTTCCCTTATGTTCCCTTGTTTGTTTGGGAGGGGGCTTCTTGTTTTGACCCTGTCTCCCACATGGACTTGAAACGTGTTTGAGCAACGTTTATACGGGTAGTTCCGGTTTTTGTTGGCTTTAAGAGGACCAAAGGACCGCAGATCAGCTTCCATTTGGTTGGTGGCTTGGATGTTGGTTTGGTGGTTTGGTCAATTTTGTGGTTTCCCATGTGCCCTTCACAAGGGCAAATCCAAATCCAACCCCTCCCAAACCAATGGGTTGCCTGGACCTAAAAGTCTGGGGGTTTCGGTTTCTCACGAGGGGGTCTCGTTGGGCTTGCCGGGGCCAGAGCCGGGGTCCCCAACTTGCAGGGGGCGTGGTGCGAATTCACGGGAGATGAGCACATCCAGAAGGAAAAAAGCAACAAAGGGAATGGACATGTTGGTTTATGTCACCGGGTTGGCTTAAGCAATGTCATCTATCACTGGGCATGTTTATATGTTCTCCCATTTTTCTCACAGAGTCTTTGTTTTTTCCCCTTGGTTTTTAACGGGAGCTCCTGTCACTGGACGTACTTTTTGTCGGAAAAACAAGTGGACGGGTTTTTATTCACAGGGGGTTGGCCCAAGCATGTCCGTTCCTCATTTTTCCAAAAAAGCTCCTAAAATCACCCGGCCATCAGGTCATTTTTTACTTTGGGCAGTGATGAGTGCTGCGCCGCTATTTTTGTGGCAAGTAACTCTGGTCCCTCACTCTCTGAGTTCCTGCACTTGAAACTTTTTGGGAAGACCATTTTAGTGCAGGAAGTCCCTGCTGAGCACCAGCAAGTCGTTTCAAATCCAAGTTCAGGTGGACATGTTGCCGGTCTTGAACCTTGCGCACGCTCCTACCGTGGCCGGCTGGCGAAAGCTTCGGCAGCTTTGCACCGAGCCACGGTTGCCAAATTCAGAGGCCATGTCTTGACTGCTACTGGGTTGGGTCTTTAGACTTTATCTGTTTTGGCAAATCAAGGGGTTTTCCACTAAACCCCCCCCAAAGAAAAAACAGAAAGAAACAGGTAAACTGTTTGCAGGGGGTCGTTACCGCAACCAAGTTTTTGGCTGCATAATTTATAGCGAGCTCAGCGATGCGAGGAAATAGCTCACCGTGTAGAAGGTCTTTACCTGGGATCCATTTCTGAAGTCAGCGTTGGACATATACTAAGATTTGCTTTCGCGGTGTCCAGCTTGCGCCAAAAATGCGAGGATTACATACTACTCGTTTGTTAGAACCCATATAGGTCACCCAATAATTCACTTTCACTTTGCGTGTGCGAGTCAGGTGGGAACGCACGAGTTTGGGTCAGGTGTTGCTTCGTGTGCTATGTGTGCGGCGGGTCCGTTTAGCTCCGGAAGCAAGTGCCGGGTTGACTTCTTTGGGGTCCGTTATTGTTTTTTTTGAGCACGGCAAATGTTTGGTTCCGGGGAAGTTTACCTCTGTAGTTTTTGCGGCTTCAGCGTTTCTGCCTGTCAGTTGGTCATTCCTTGTGTGTTTGTGTTTTTGTAACGTTGGCTTTGTTTTTTCCTGTTTGCTTTCTTGCGAGCGTGCTTGCTTGCTTTGCGTTGCGTTGCGTTGCGTTGCGTTGCTTTGCTTTGCTTTGCTTTGTTTTGTTTTGCTTGTTTGCTTTCCGTAGTTATTTATTTATTTCTTGGCTGCTTTGGTTTGCCTTGTTTGTTTGTTTGTTTGTTTGTTTCTTTGTTTGCCTGCTGGCTGGCTGGCTGGCTGGCTGGCTGGCTGGCTGGCTTGGTTGCGTGCGTGCGCCCCCGGGTTTGTGTCGGGGTAGGTGTCACTTTGTATGTGTGTGGCAGTGTGTGCGTACATGGCAGTGTCTGTTTGTCGGCGCGTGTGTATGTGTGTTCATTGCGTATTTGTGTGTGTGTCAATGCAGCGTGTCAGTTGCGTGTTTCAGTTCGTTAACTGTACATGTGGCGAGCTTGTGTGTGTGTGTGGCGGCTTGCGTTGTGCTCTGTCAGTTGTATTCGTGTTTAAGCCTGTGTGTGTGTGTGTGCGCCACTGCCCGGTAGTGTTCGCGTCAGACCCTTTCTGCAGAGATGCTTTTCCCAATTCTTAGTTAGACGCTGTGAATGCAGCGTTGGGAGGTTCTTGTTGAAGTCAGATGTCTAGAGGTAAATGTGCAAAGTGTTTCTTTGAGATATCAGACCAAGTTTGCTTTTATGCAGGTCTTGTTTGCTTGGTTCACTGGTTTTATCTCCGTGCCTACCAGTCCAGGAATTGCTTAGGCAGGTGGTTGTGCTTGGTTCACTCGAAGAAATCAGTGCAACTTGCCCAGGAATGGGGGAAGTTCTACCAGTCCAGGATCCGCGCCTTCTCAGCCCAGTTCTTCTTCTTCCTCCTGGTGGCTGTGGATCCAAAATTGGTAAACTGGAACCCTTGTAAATGGAAAATATAGACTAAAACCTGCGGTTTCCTGATGGGTAAGTGGAACCAATGGACTAACACCTGCGGTCCAAATCCTGGTGGTAACTAATTTTGACTCATACCATATGCACAGTTTAAGCTTCTTCCTTCAAAACACCAGGCTGAAGCTTCAAATTCGGAGCTTGACATAATTCCCATACCCATACCGACTAATGTTGTCCCATATCAAACACCATCTAAAACAATCTAAAACCAACTAGACCATCCAAAAAACCATCCAAAACCATCCAACACCATCTAAACCCATCCAAAGCCATCCAACACCCAGGTGATCCTCACGGATCTCATCTGCGGCATGCTGATCCCCGCCTACACGGAGTTCAGTGGCGTGAACTTGGCCTCCCTGCTCGTCTGCGGCCTTGTGAGCACCGCCCTGGTGGCGCCTTTGCCGCATCTTGCATCGCCATCGTTCCGCCAATTTGTTAGGAGCTCACCTAGTAAAAGCGAGCCCGCGGGAAATGGAGGCTTACTTCTTAGGTGTTTGAATTGGAAGCCTTGCAGATGGGCGCTGTAAGCCCATGTTGCAGGGCTCCTGAAAAGATACATTTTGCAACCAGTTGAAACATGGCTTTTTCAACACCAAAACAAAAGGAAACCACCATGTACAAGTTGCAATGTTCAGGTGTATAATGAAAGGACCCCTGTGTTGGGACTTTAGCTTTTTGACTTCTTGCCAACTACAAGGGGCAACCACTAAAACCACCAAACTGCTAACACCACTAAAAACCACTGAAATTTGGGACTTCAACTGTTTGACTTTTTGCCAACTCATGGGTTTTCCATTTGCTTAAGAACATTTTTCCCCTGTTGGTTTTAAGGGGAATTTATCGCTGCTGGACATAGTTTTATTGTTTCCGGGGTCTTGGCCAAATGGAAGAATGCTTTTTTTCATTAAACCGCCACAAGTTAAACTTTTAGTAGGGGAGCGGCAAGCGACCGAGGTTTGCATCATCACCTTGGTGCATCTGGGGAACGAGGTGAACAAGTCCGCGGAGAGGCACCGCTTCCTGATCAACCGCCAGCGCACCTTGCTCACAGCCATAAAGCATGAAGCCTCCACTTCACTCAAGTCGGCCGCCATGTGCGCAGCAAGGAGCGACGCCCAGACAGCCAATAGTCTTTTCTTTTTGGTGGGGGGGTGTCCCGTTTGGACCCAACAAGAGTGGCCTTTTTGGTGGGGTGTGTGTCCCGTTTTGGTGGGGGAGTGCCGGAGATGTTGGGCATTTGGCCTCAGGAAGCCCAGAAGAATTCGCGGATGCCCCCTGACCCTTGCCAGGACACCGGCGGAGTGCCGAAGCGTGCTTCGTGTTGGCTGGCTTTTGCTTGCGCCTGGGTTTTGGCCGCTAACCCAAATCCGCATTTTCGTGTTGGCTGCGTGGGTTTTGGCCGCTAACCCGAACCCAATGCATCTGGCTCGGCCAGCCGCAATCAAGCCTTGGGCTGGCCGATGGTATGTCCAAGGCATTCAACATGTCGATGCACAGGATTCCCCGAACAGCATTGCTCTGCCTCGTTGATAACAGCCAGGTTAGCTGTGAGGCATTATTTGTTTGTTTCCGCTGGATTCGATTCAATAAATATCGCTTCTAGATCGATCTCACAATTTGATATACCAACGAGACGCCCTAGCAGGCTTATTTGCCTCCTAGTACATTCAGGTAAGTCAGGTAGCCTTTGGTGTGGGGGCTTGAACCCAAGAGGCTTTGAAGCCAGCTGGCCACCCCGCAAGTCAGAGCTCTGCTCGCGAGCTTGCCAGACACGCTTTGCAGGTCATTTGTGGACCGAAACCACCGTAGTAAGCTTCCTGCAGCAGCTCTGCGCACGCACTTCCTTTGGTCCCTCAATTTTGGGCAACTCAATTTTACCAGTAACTCAAAGGGAAGCAAACAATAGAATATTCATTCTACAACTGTTTCACTTTGGTGGCAGGAAGAGTTGGAGAAGACGACGGACCTTATGGCATGTTTGAGCGACGAGCTAGAGTGTGATGGGAATGTGCGGCCCTTGACTTTGCTGGGAATGCCGCTGGGATGGTCTTTGATCTCCTTCCTGAACTTTATCCCCATCGGAGTGATTTCCACGCTCATGCAGTTCTGTGGGAACGAGGAGACTGCCCAACGCTGCTTGGCTTGAGGGCTTGAGCGCTTGAGCGCGATAAAGAGAGTGCCCGGCTAAGCTGAGCAAACTGTTCTGATACGAGAGTGCAGCGGCTTGGCTGCATGAGTGTCTTTGCTTCGCAAAATTGGGGGGGGGGGAGTTCTGAAAGTTGTGCTTCTTTGACTTCTTTCAAGCCTGGCCAGAGAACAGAATCCCCAGCCCAGCGCGGCTTGCTCTTTGAGCAGCGTTGCAATGATGACTGAAACCATATCATCCGACGCTCGCAATCCACGGGTCCACGGGTCCCGTGGCTTGCGCCAAGTTGCCTTCCCTGTGCCCAAATGAAGCGCGGCTTGCAGGCCATTTCAACGTGGCACGCGCGCCCTCACCAGTCAAATCACCAACACCAGACAACTTGCCAGCCTGGCCCCGAGAAGTACAGATGCACCAAACCATACTGGGGCCAGCCGATCAGGGGTGTCTGGGGGTGCTTTAGTGGGAGCGTCCCTGCAATTCGATCAGACAAGTCGCTAACGCCAGACAACTCGGGAGCCTGAGCCCGAAATTCACAGAACCATGTGTTGCAACTGCGACATGTTGTGTCATTCTCTGATGGGCCATGCGATCAGGACAGTTTGGGGGTGCTTTAGTGGGATCGTGGCTGCAACTCGACGCTTGGCCAAGCCAAGCGATCGGCAAGTCCTTTCGCAGCCGGGCCTCATGTTTCATACGATCTCATGCGAAAAGGTCCGAGCGGAGTGAGGAAGAGTTCTGGCTTGCCACGAATTGCTGGCTGGGCGGTTTGGACGGTTGCTACCACCCTTGGTCTCAAAACGACTTGGGGTTCAGTTCCCCGAACCAATCCAAGCAACCCCTAGGGAGGTTACCTGACAAGCCAAATGGGTGTGTCTTTTGTAGCGGACCCCCCATTTGGCTTTCGGGTTTCCTATCAAATCAACCCCGAAAAGGGTTCCATCAACAAAGACACCCATCGTGCAAAGTTCCATAGAAATTTTCTGTACCGGCACTCTTGTTGCTTGCCTTTTTTTTCTCTTCGCATGAGTTCTACCGCACTAAAGTGGCTGTGGGTCAAAAATAGGCACCCAAATTGAGACCCCAGATGGAGCCAAGGGCTCAGACCTGCGGATCCCCTGGCTTAGTTTTGACCCAGGTCTCCAGGTTGAAGCCCTCTGATTGGTGGAGCCTGGCGGTTGGGAGGTTAGAGGGCTTCCCATGTGCCCTCTATAAGAACAAGGGGGTTCAATTCAAACCCGAATTATTAATGTAAAACCACCAGCAAAGGTGTAACCTGAATGGCGGTCACCAGGAGTGATGTGCCAGCACATCGCAGTTCCAACACAGATTCAAAGGCTCTTCTCACAGATGCTTCCGAAATTAGGTGCGGAACTAGGCATGACGTCTTTTTCAATGTTTACCTGGGGTGTCAAATCTCGGGTCCCGGAAATGTGCCAATGTAGGGTAGGCGAAGTATGACGGCTCCCATCCATCCCCTTAGCCTTTTAGCTCTTGAGTGTTTAGTGGTTTTTCAATTTTCTTCTTCCACAAAAAAAACAACAACTTTTCGCGGGGGATCTGAGGACATCCCAGTTAGGGTAGGCGAAATGTGAGACAGAAGCTGCTACGACTTGATCCGTGCCGAAGTCGGCCAAGAAATGGGCTTCGAGCCCGCCTCGCAGGCGAGATGATCGGTGGGCCTTTGGAGGCAGGAGTCAGGGATCCTCAAATCGGCGAGCAAAGCAGCCGATTTGGGGGTAAACCGAGGTAGTCATTGATTTATTATCCTTCATTTGGGGAGAATTGCCTCAAAGGTTTTGGGATTGTAAAATGTGTGGCCCCATACTCTGCAATGCTATTGGTTGGGGCTCGGGGGTCATTATGCAAGACGCATATAGCGAGAATACAAGAGGGGACGACCGATCAGTAAAGCTTCCGTATTGCGTTTGTGACGGGAAGTCAGCACACGCAAGATCATTGTCGGAGTATTGTCGGGTGAGATTGGTGTCCACATTTTGACCACCAGGGCGCAATGGCGAAGTGAGCATACGCGCGAAATGCTACATGCTCGAGTCACATGCATTTGCACAGGGGTGCGCTTTAATGTATGGTGCTTTCTTCCTTCACCTGTGAGTTGATGGCTGGCCATCCCAGGATGATCCCCACCCCCTCAAATATGGAATTGGGGGAGGGGGGATTTCGACCCCTGGAGATTCCAATTTATGGTTCCATTTCCTTAGGGGAAGACCAGACTTCCCCAGAATTAGTTCCGCTTTTTCTCTTCTTGCCTTTTTGGTGTTCCCTTTGCTGTCCACAAACCAGGCCAAACCACATCTATATGCTTTTTGCTGGGGTCCTCATTCCAGCCAAGTAGATAACTGGAACTGGGCACCCCACCCTCCTCCTGGTCGGGGGGATCCACAGGATGCCAGCGGGCCCGCGCTCAACAACTTTGTGAAGCTCCTTGGAGCTGAGAGATGTTGCGCCTATTGGTGGGAGGGCAGGCGCATGGTTGTTGGGAAACATGTTTCCCATTTTTGCTTATGGTGGTTGAGTGGTTGAAATCCAACCACTTAACTGCTAAAATTTACTTGTTTTGCTCCCCTTCCAACATCAACGAAGGGCAAATCACTCATGGCCATGTGAGTGCCTACCAGGTGATCCCTAGTGATTTCATGGATGGCACACGCGATTCCCCCTTTATGGTTAAAAAGTTCAGAGCTCAGTTGGACTGACTTACCCCCTGGGAAATGAGTTCCCTTACTGTTTCTTTGTATCAAAGACCCACAAGAGGGCACTTTCGCTGGGGCAGATTTGTGTGAATGTGCGGAGAAAATCCAGTGCCCCCTGAGTGTGAAGCTTGTGTTCGTGGCGTCGGTTGGGCGAGAGCTACGCTTGAAGCTTCTAACTGTAGGTATTCCTCATGGGTTCTACCAGGATGCTAAAGGGTCAAGATGCGGAAGACTGCACTGGCCTTGGACATAGGTGTTCCTATGCGTAGGTGCCGGCTTCAGTTTGGTTCTCTTCCACCAGTGCCTGAGTTGAAGAGATTGAACGGGACAAGCAGTGACCAGTGGCAGGTTGCAACCAACTAGCCGAAGGGCACCAAACGTGGGTTTTCAGGCACCTTTTAGAGTATCCGTCGAATTTTTGTGGGGGCTTATAAGCTTGTTTTTTTGCAGGGCCACTCATTAATAATATTCCACTTGCCTGCGAAAAAGAATCATACAGCTCGGTGGGGGGGGAATGCAACAAAAATCTCAAGCCTGGGCAACGAGGCGGAGTTTTTGCGCGCCGAGGCTCGTGGCCGTGTTCGCTTTCATCACCAGCGGCAGCTTGGACCGGTTGGTGAAGGCTCAGGCGGCCTTTTCTGTCGATACCTCGAGCACCCAAACAGGACGGGGTTTCTAGAATTCGGTCTGGAGAGGCGCTTTTTACCGTGGGATTTGTTCTTCACCCTGTAGGTCGTGTTGCTTTCCTACAAGGGTTGGTCACATCCAAACCGGTTTCTAGAGGGTTGTTCGAAACAAAACTCAAGACCCTTCTGCCTGGTAGTGGCCTCCGTCTCGTTTTGGTTTCCCCACCAGTTGCGAAGGACTATGGATCTGGGATTCCATTTCAAACAGGGCGACACAGGCAAGGGAGAACCAAGGCATGGTTGTTGTTGGGAAACATTTTACATTGTTGCTTATTGTGGTTTAGTGGGAAATCCCCACAACAACTGCTAAACAAATGTTTTTTGCTCGTCTTCCAACGTGAACCAAGAAGCGGGGAAACCACCTCCAAACCAGGGAAGCTGAAGCAAGCCCAGTGTGAGCCCAGCCGAAGCTTCGCCTCGCCTCTCGCCACGCCTAGGCCTTTACGAACCTCGGCCGGCAGGGGGGGGGGGCCAGCGGAACGAACTGGGCACGTGGAAGTGCTTAGCATTTGGCGGTGGCTCAAAAAAGGTACCAACATGGCATCTTGGTAAATGGAGCCAAAGACGAACTCCGGCGGTTTGCCCTAGGAAAGATGAGCGATTCTCCTGTAACTCAGTTGTTCAGTGGCTCCCTTTTTCCTTTATTTTTGGTGGCTGCCCCACTGAAATGGTCTTCCCAAAAAAGGGTTCCCTGTCCAGGGTCACTGAACAACTGAGGTAAATACCGTGGCTTCCCATACTTTCAAACTGGTGCAAGAGTTCGTCCATCCATAGTATGTAGTTTTTTTTTTTCAGCAGGCTTATGGAGGACAAGAGCGAGCCTCGCAAAGCGCACCAATCATGCCGCTTGAAATTGGCGGTTTACTGCATGTGACGTTTTTCCATTGTGACACCAGCGAGATGCACAATCCCGGGCCACTGTTTCGATAGCATGACCGGAAGTGCACCTGCCGCAAAGCAAGTTGCAACAGCTTCCAATGCAACTGGCAGTAGCCTTCCACCACGAGGCTGTGATGATTGACTACTTCCAGTTGCCTTGGAATCCTTGGAATATTGCTTGAATTGGTTTTAAAGGCAATATTTCTTCACTGAGGGTATCCTTCGCTGGGTGTGTGACCCTTGGACTTCCCGTTTTCAACGGTAAACAAAAATCAGAGGTTTGACCCTGACCTTTTCGTCAGGGATCTTTTGATTCCAGGTGGGGGAGCCAAAATGAGACACGGTTTAGTTTTCGAATCATGTTTTGGAGAACACGGTATCGGACGGTAATTTCCTACGCCAACCAAAAGGTTGGGTTTCCCAAAATGGAGGGACACCCAATTTCACTTGCTGGTTTGGAATGGAGAGTAGCTGTGTCGGGAGAGGTAATAGACTCGGATGAATGACTGCAACGCCGTGTCAGTAAGCTGGGTACACCATGGATCACTTTGCACACAAAGGGAGATCATTTTCCCGTGAAACTGGGCCACAATAGTGAGTTCATGCGCCAAGCGAGAGGCTTTATTCGCTATGCTACGGTGGGTCGGTTTAAAGATAAACCACAAAGACGCCACCTAGATTGCGTTTTTATTATTATTATTATTATTATTATTATTATTATTATTATTATTATTTATTGATTTTTGGGTTTAAAGAGAAACCACCGTCGGACACCACTTTTTATTTGCTGGGGGTCCAACCTTATTTCGAGACAGACCCGTCTGGCGAGCGAGGGTTAAGTTGCATCCAAGGATGAGGAGCCTGATAGGTAGAAGCCTCAGAACCGCCATGAGGGGGGCACGTTCGGCATGGTTTTTGTTGACCCCGGATCTTGGCTCTTGTAGGGATTTGAGCCACCTGGTTCTTGTAGAAGAGGTGTTCCCCTAGCAGGGGGTTGACCCCGGATCTAGGTACCTAGAATCGATTTTTGACCCTGCAAAAATCGGGTCATGACCCCTTTCTTTTGGGTAATGATCCCATTTTTAAAGACTCATGGAGAGTCTAGGTAGGACCTTGGTTCT